ACATAGGTTTTCTTCCGATGTCAATGACCTTTTGCTAAATAAAAAGCAGTTCTGATCCGAGCATAACACATGATTTCTGCCGACACGTACTGCAGCATTTTGGCCAGCATGTGACTGATGCCTGTACTAAATCTATCAAAACTAGTATATTTCATATTAGTAGTGAATGGGAGCCGATAAGTTCTCTGGAAATGATTTTTTAATGCAACTCGATGAGAGCCGCTTGGCCGCTTCTGAAATAGAAATGTATATTAGCAAGAGATGAAATAAAAAGAACCGAAAAGTGGGAGGGGAATTAGAAAATTAGAAAATATGTAGAATTAGTAAAATTATTATAGTGGTAAGAGGTGTTTCGGTCCATTAAGTCGTATATATTTCTTACCATTACCACAATTGAACCTCGTCAGTACGACAGTTGTGATAGTTGAAGTTAGTGAAAATTAAATGTAAATTAGTTATGTATTGCATACCAATAGTAATAGAAAGTATTGTAGAAAATGAATAATAATATGATGGGAAAAGTAGCATATCTTCCTTCATCCAACATATCCCTGGAGCAATGAGCGCAACTGTTTTTACGGGAAACATCATGCAAAATCGCTAAGCGAATTGCTAATTAATGGGGTGATTGGCTGGGGTTGGAAAAAATTTGGTTTTCTGCAAGAAAATTTGGTCAGAAAGAGTAGAAAAATAATGCAGGAGATTGAAAGCCCTGGTCATGAGCATCTGGGCAACATCAGAAAGGTTCTCCATACCTTTTAAATGGTATTCTGTGCGGTATTTCGTTTTTATGCGTTTTTTGCTGTGTAACAGCAGTACAAAACGTATATTGTCGTGGGATTGTCTGTGTGTGTTTGTGCTCGCAGCAACTTGTCCGCAACTTTCAATTCGGGAACCACAAAAGCTAGAAAGCTGAAAATTTAGGGAAATGCTCCTCACCCACATGTGACCCCGCAAATTTAAATCCAGTCTCTCCATATCCGCGAGTAACACGCACGACCCCGTAAAAGTTTTGGCGGGGAAAATTGTTGTATCGGTAACCATGGAAGCTAGGAAGCTAAAATTTTATTCATCTACGCCTTTTTAACAGTTTTTGGTGCGCCTACACTGTAACTTCTCAAATTATCACTTTTAGTGTTTGGTATTTGCGGAGCAGAAATTTTATGTAGTGGGTGGGACAGATGGCTGGGATTACAATATGGAAGTTCGCAGCCTGGAACCTGTATTTAGTGCCGGATATGAA